TGTCCTAAAGGAACTCTGCAGTGTCTTGTGCCCCACAGACAGGCGGCCCAGACCACTCTGGGCTACCCTGTAACAGCATCTCCTCAGCAGAAAGGAATACTTGGGGATGCGATAATAAGCCAACTTCCCCAGGCAGGATGGAGCGGGTCATCCCTCTGATTGTGGTATCAGCCTTGACCTCGCAGTACCTCAGCCTTCTCATTGCTGCGCTAGTTTACCGGCGGCTGTGAGAACCCATCGTGAACCTACCTGGTCTGGGATGGCTGCACAACAAGCATGTAACCCAGTGCTCAGGCAGAGTTAGAGCCAGGGCTTTTTGGAAGCACTGGAGTTCATTTTAACCATATGGTGTCTCTGGCCTGTGAGGCCCACCTGGTCACTCAGAAACTAAATATTACCAAAATTGAATAACTGCCCAAGGATCAAAGACAGAATGTTTTATGAAGTCTTTGTACTCACTAATTTTCAGTTCCCTAAAGATGCTTGAGTTCACTTTAGAGCTTAGTAGACCCTGAAGCTGTTCTGGGGAACAGAGGCCAGAGCTGGGACTCAACAAGGATACCAGAGTCCCCTTTCCTCCAGCTACAGGCTCCAAACTCTCTCTAGAAGGAGCTTATGCAGGCTAACAGGCCCTTGGCCGTCCCAAGAAACTTGTTTTGATGTTGCATTTGAAAAGTGCCCTTTAGGTAAGATTGAGAAATCCTAGGTTTTGCCAAAGATGAAGGAGGGGCCCTGAAAGAGAGAGGCCCCACCAGCCTCGTCCTAGGTCTGCCTCAGTGGGCAGGGCACTTCTCCTTTCTGGCTTACTGAGCAGGATTGTGACCTACTGTCACTAGCTGGTTATCCTGGCTCGCCACCACTTCCTGTGGGCATGACTCAGGCAAGTGACTTTGGGCTCGCTGCCTCAGTTTCTCATCTGTAAAATTAAGCTGGTAATTGTGCCTACCCTATAGGCTTGTGGCAATTAAATGCTATAAGCCTTATAAAGCATTTGGAATGATGTTAGGCAAATGTTAATCAATGCTCACTGCTCTTATTTGGGGGGTTGTTACAAAGAAGAGACTGAGCTCAAGAATCCTCAGCTTTGGGCATCCCTGATGGTGCAAGGATTAAAGTCTCGGTGCTATCAATCTACCCACAGCCATTGTAGTGTGAGTTCAATCCCCAGCCAGGGAGCTGACCCACATGGCACAGCAGACCTCTCCTGTCTTGCCCACTGCTCCCCTCAGCAGTGTGTTTCAATCTGCCAACTTACAGATGACTCTAGCTTGGCTAAAGGATAGTTACAGCAGCCATGGTTGATGGCCCACTTATACCACAGGCCCATATCTATGTTCACTTTAACCTTTGCTAGATAGTTCCTGGCAGGGAAATAGCTTCTCACATTAAATATTTGCTGTCTTCTGGTCATCCCAACCATCATGGGTACTTGCTCCACCTGGAAGGAGAAACCTGAACTTGCCCCTGGAGGCAGCCCTCCATCCATCATGGAGAGTGTCCACAGGTAAGCACTTCAAGAGAAAATTCTAGAATACATTCCCCATGGTCTCCTTCAGCCTCCCTGGGGATTTAAATCCCAGGAGCACATACCAGAACTTGCTTACCAACACCTGGAAAAGTGTTTTCCTTTCCTTTTTCACATTCTCCACTCTCCTCCTTGTACTCCCAGGGACCACCTCCAGAGTAAATCAACTACACACAAATTCTTGTCTCAGGTTGCTTTTGCAGGGGGGAAAATCCTAAGATAGTTAAAACCAGAAATGGCAGAACTGGCTTTCGATTCCTGACAAGAGCAATGACGAAGAGATGGACTGCTTGCAGTGAGCAGCTTTCCCTCAGCCTGCCAGGCTCATGGGAGAGAACAGTCTCCAGGCCCTGGAACCCACACAAAGGACTCACCTGCAGTGGAGGCCTCCCAGAATGATGGAGGCCTGTCTGCCTTGACCTCCAGCCCATGTTCCCTCCTTGCCTCTATACCAGATTCACCAAATCTTTTCTTCTTTTTCTTTTTTTTTTTATTTAAAGATTTATTTATTTATTCATACAGAACTGGGGTACAGGCCAGAGATGCAGAGGGTGAGAAGATTCAACAAAGGCAGAGCAGGGAGCAGAACAGGCAGATCGAGGAGGTACATTGCTGAGGGGAGCAGCGGGCGGGTCAGGAAAGGTCTGCTGCGCTGTGTGGGTCACCTCCGGGGCAGGCGGGAATCGAACTCATGTGGAAGTGGCTTAAGCGTCTTAGTGCTTTAACCTGCTGTGCCACCAGGGAGGGCCCCACCAAACCTTTTCTTAAAGGATGATAGTAAATATTTTAGGTTGGTGGGCTACATGGTCTCTGTTGCAAGTCAAGTGTGCTTTTGCCCTACTTTTAAAATACAGTGCAAAACAGCCATAGGCAATAGGTAAGCAAATGGGTATGTCTGCATTCCAATAAAACTATACCAAAACAGGCAGTTGCCCATGGAGCTGTGGTTTGCTCGACCCTTCTCTAGACCAGTAATTAGGGCCAGGTCTCAGCATTGCCTGAGCAGGAAAGTACAGTCCTTGCTACAGGAGGAAATAATTTACAAAAAAACTACAGGCTAGCTGATATATATTAACAGGAACAGAAGGACACATAAGGGAGGAGATCTTGAGGGTGTGGGACTGGGTTGAGGGAATACAAGACGGCATAAAGTGTTTTTATGGAGGCTCTCTCTTGATTCAGCATTGAACACTCTGGCAAGGCCCTTGGGTTCTGGTCCTAACACATTGAACTGCTGAATTGCTTGGTCCTTAGAGCTTAGACAAGATCATGGCTTAGAGTGAGTAGAGTGGTGATGCTGGGGAGAGCCTGGGGGAAGGGTTGGATGGCTCAGAGAGGTGAGCAAGACTGCAGGGGCTCACTGCGTGAGATCCCACCTGCTTACCATCTTCCCCAGGAAGACGCTCCTTCTCCAAGCAATAAAGGATGCACTAGTGAGGGGAGCTCAGGGCTGGCTGAGCACAGGCTCCTGTGGGATGTTATGGCCACTGGTGACAGAGAAAGTACAATTCCAGTGGACCAGAGGCCACAAAGGGCTTCTGAATCATTAGGTGGACACAAGGCCTGAATGGTCACCAGGGGCCTTTGATGTGAGGATCCTGTGGCAGGGGTGTTCCCAGGGAACACCCAGAGCATTTGATGAGGGCATCGCTTGATTTAAGCAGCACAGAGCAAGGGTGATAATGCCATTTGCCAGCATGGAAAATGGCAATCCCTCGCCCGGTTTTCAGATTTAAGCTAAGTTTAACACCCAGACCTACTTATTGAAGAGAAAGCCATAGACCACTATTAAGTATATAAATACTTCAAATGTTCTCCCCAAAGTATGCTCTGGCTAGTTGCCAGAAGAGGTATACAGTATTGAAAAAGAAATAACCAGACCTTTTGAAGTCTGTTGAACTAGAATTGTTACCAGGTAACCCAAAATACCATTACAGTTTCCTTTCATAGCAGGGGGAGCTATGAGGTCAGGTGATAAATGGAATCCCAGTGATGTTCATTTGAGTCTGATGGGCTCAATGGGTGTGGGCCCACCCCTGTGACTATCTCCCAGACCCTGCTGCAAATTGGGATGGACACAAATAGCAGGGAGCTGATCCCTCACATCGGCTCCCCAACATACGGAACATGAACCATTATGGGAAAAGAAGCAAGTATAAGTCTCTAAAATTATCTCACTGGTCAAGATAGTTAATCAGAAGTAATACCACATCCCAGGTATTGCAGAGGTTAGCAATACCCTGAAAGACTCAAAGGATGTGGGGGTTGTTTTGTTACCGGCACACAGCTGCTTCAGTGGTGACGACCAGCAGGAGCAGTGGTGTCCTGTCACCCTGCTGCACCACCACAAGTCAATTGTGGCAATTGCTCCTCAGAGCTCAGTAATTGCCTTTTTGTCAGTTGCGGCAGTTGCTCTTCAGAGACCTTTTATGTAGCAGTGTACTTCCTGGATTGTGGAATGGACCAACCAGGTGCAAGCTATGAGGCGATTGGTGCTAAATGGTCTGATCAGCCACAGGATTGAAACTTGTTACCAGGACCCAGCTGTCTCAGCAGCAGGAGCCACCAGGAGCAGTGGTGTTCTCTTGCCCTAATGTTCCACCCCAATGCTGGGCCCTCCCTGGTGACACAATGGGGTAAAGCAGAGCACTGTGAAGCTAACCACAGCCACTGCAGGATGAGTTCGAACCCCGGCCAGGAGGTGACCCATATGGCACAGCAGACCTCTCCTGTCTCACCTGCTGTTCCCCTCAGCAGTGTATTTCAGTACATCTGCCTGTGCTGTTCCCCGTTCTGTCTCTGATGGATCCTCTCAGCCCCTGAGTATCTGTCCTGTACTCCAGTTCTTATAGGCATAAATAAATAATTCTTTTTTAAAAAAAGAATAATGCTGCTATGAACGTCTTTTGGTAGAAATATGTACTCAATTCTCTTGATTATTTTTCAGAGAACCCAGCTAAGATAAATTCTCTGCATGATGGGACAGGCATGAGGAGAGGAAGTGTTAAAGTATTGCCAATAGTTGAAGATATTTCCCAATCCTTAAGATATTTTATACTTTTACCAGCAAGGCGAGAGTCCTAGTTGTTCCACATGACTGTCAACGCTTGGCATTGTAAATCTTTTTCATCTTCGTCATCCAAATAGGAGTGTAGTGGTGTCTTATTGCGGTTTTAATTTGCATTGTCCTGATGAGTAATAATGTCAAACAATATGTTCTTTCCTTAAAAGACCACACATCAAACCAAATCATTGACGCTGGTGATCTTTGTAGAGGTGTGATCACTTACTGCTTTTGCTTGTTGTCTGTTTATTTTTTTGTTTTTTTGCCTCCTAATCTTCCTGTTTGCTACAATGTCTGCATTTTGTACTCCAAATATGTCATTTTTTAATTTATAGAACCTCCCAGAAACTCCACCTACTTGTTCTTATAAATAACAAACTATATTGACCACCACAGTAATAATAGCACAAGTAAAATCACCAAGAAATATTTATTGAGCACCTGCTGGATACCCAGAACTGTGGGAGGAGCTGTGAAGGACAGAGTCCTGCCCTAAGAGGCTTACAGTCTAGGTGAAGACAGGGGAACCAGGACACGGAGCCTGGAGAGAGCCGGCCAGGGCAGGGTGTTACAGGAGCTGGTAGGCATTTGGGGTCAGACCTTCCTACGGCTTTGATGTCTCCAGGGCTCAGCAGTTAGAGCCAGGAAGGATAAGTCACAACTCCGTGGTCCACATGAGCCCACTTTATGTGTCCAACCCACAGCCTCTACTTCCGTCATCTTAAAACACCTGACTCCTTGTTCAGCTGCTTTTCAAAGTGCAATGAAATTGGGAGAGGGCGGGCAAATGGGGAAGGTGCTTGGATGAGTTCCAGGGGCTGGTGTCACACTCCTCCTCTTCCTCCTAAGAAAATCTTCTCCTCCCCACATGCTCCTTAACAAAGAGATCTCCACTCAAGGAGGCCTGCCTGGTCACCCAGGACCCCGCACCCAAGAGCTAAGGCTGGCGGGAGGAGTCATAGCAGTTTGAGCTACCTGAGGTAGAACCAGGGGCCCCCTACTTTTAACATGTCTCTTCTCCTTTCAGTCCACTGGGTCGGGAAGGACAGCACCCCATAGCTGTCACCAGGGCCAGGGCCCACAAGGGCCCAGAGAAAGAACCTGGGGGCGGGGAGAGGAAGAAAGGACTTGAAGGCCCAGCTGGAAAGGAGGGGCATTCAGGACTCCTGGAAAAGTGCAGGGGGGCGGGGGGATCCAGCAGGGTGGAGGCCCAACACGAGGCTGGCTCCTCTGTGGGCTGCAGAGGGAGTGAGGAGAGGCAGGGTGGTTTGCTACAAGACTCCGCCTTCCTGGTGCCCCGACACTGCGGGCCAGAGCACTGCCAGTCTGACCCTGTCCCAGGCTGTGCCCTCTTCTTCAAGGCCACCTTGTCCAACCTTAGGAAGGTGAAGGACCTCCAGACTTTACATGATGTTCCCCCTCTGCAGGGGCCCCCTTCAAAGTGCTTTTTGTTTACTTCTCAAATGATAAAGAACGCAAGTCTGAGAATGCAGGAAAGGGGCAGTTCCTATCAGCCAGGAGACAGGGACTAAGTACACAACCCTTCCTGAGAGTGCCCCCCAGGGTGAGGGTCATGCCAACCCACCTTGCCCGCTAGGAGAGAGGAAATGGAGAGTGGAGGATAAGGAGTCTTAAATAAGTTGGCATAATAAAAATACCTAGCGCCCTAATATGCCTAGTGTGTTACTGTCTAACTTCTTTTTTAAATAATCCTAATGCAGGGGCCAGGGTAGCAAGCAGGGTATGTACATGAGGAATTTAAATTAAAGCACAAATAATTAAGACGTACAAACTGAAGGGCTAAGACAGAAGATGTAGAAGGGGCTGCGGGAAGAGCCCCCTTGTTTCCAGGAGTGAGGCCTCTGGTGAGCAGGTTAGGGCTTCCTCTTGGAGAAGACCAGCCGGCGTTTGGAGTGATAGAAGTCTGAGGAGAGAGAACACGAGTCAGTCAGGCCAGGAGGAAGCAGGCACAGCAGAGACACCCAGACAGGGCAAACTGCAGAGGGGCCAGGGCCCCCCTCCCAGGGGCCTAAAGGACACTGGCCCACTGCAGGGGAGAGCTGCAACTTCTCTGCTGCTGGGGCGGGGATGGGCATTTACCGGGCATCCCACCGCCCCCCACAGATGTGACTGGTACCAGGACCGACACCCATCGCCTGCACTGGGCCAAGCTACCCAGTGTGGAAGCCGCTAGCTCTGTGCTACTTAAGCGAACTCAAAGCAAACGAAAACTTCAGTTCCTTGGTCACACTAGCCACCCGTCAGGAGCTCATGGGTAACTGCCTCCTTGTTCTGGGATATGTCTACTCCAGGGTTTCCACCTCATAGGCCATGAACAGGGCTCTATACGCAGCATGTCAGCTACTGTTACCACCGTCGCTGTTGTTCTCACCCAGCTGCTAACTGGCAGTGGGGCTTGGCTTTACCTCTCTGCGCCTCAAGTTCTTCACCTATAAAATGAGGGTGACTGATACGGTGCTATACAGATCCAATAAAGAGCTCTCTCATAAGCCTTGGGTCTAGGACTGCATGTCAGCCTGATTCACTCATTATCAAGCACCTACTATGTGCCAGACACCATTTTAGATGCTGGAGAGCCAGCCATGACCGAAGGGCATACAGGTCCCTTTTCAGGGAGACGATACGCTAGTAGAGGAGATGGGTAACCAGCAAGATAGGGAAGTGGCTTTTGATAATTAGCTGTTAAAAGAAAGTGCCAAGGCCCTCCCTGGTGGAGCAGCGGGTTAAAGCACAGCACTGAGAATCTAAAAAGCCGCTTCCGCATGAGTTCGATTCCCACCTGCCCCGGAGGTGACCACATGGCGGGGCAGACCTCTCCTGACCCGCCCGCTGCTCCCCTCAGCAGTGTACTTCGTCGACCTGCCTGTTCTGTTCCCCACTCTGTCTCTGGTGAAGCCTCTCACCATCCCTGAGCCTCTGGCCTGTACCCCAGTTCTGTATGCACAAATAAATCTTTAAAAAAAAATTTTTTTTTTAAAAAAAAAAAGAAAAAGAAAGTGCCAAAAAGAAGAGAATAGGCAAGGTTGGGGAACAGAAGTGCATGTGATGGAGGAAAGTTAAAGTTTGGATAGGATGACCAGGAAATGATCATCAGTTTTCTCTCTACCTCGCTGAGTCTTGTCTCTTTGCCTATATGAGTCGTAAGACTGTCACATGGTAGAAGACTGATAAGGACTAAATGAAAATCATCTTAGAAACTTAGCAAAGGGGGCTTTCCCTGGTGGCGCAACCGGTTAAAGCACCGCATGATGAAGCTCTATGAAGCCACTGCAGCACGAGTTTGATCCCTGGCCAGGGAGCTGACCCACATGGTGCAGCTGACCTCTCCTGACCAGCCCACTGCTGTCTATACTTCATCAGTTGGCCTGTTCTGCTCCCTGCTCTGTCTCTGGTGAATCCTCTCACCCACCACACCTCGCCTGTACCCCAGTTCTGTAAGCATAAATAAATAAATCTTAAAAAAAAAAAAAGAAAGAAAGAAAAGAAAAGAAAAGAAACTTAGCAAAGGGCCTAAAGGGCCTGGCTATTTATTCCCCCAGTGCCAGCTAGCTAAGCTGGCTGCAGATTGGCAGCCACTTCCTCTGGGATGGAACCCCGTGGGACTCCTCTGGCTGGGGCCCCGTGGGACTC